AAGTTTATTTAATATTATGATAGTGGGACAAATGCGAGACGAATGGGGGAGCAGTATTTAGTATTTAAATGACACATGAAGAGTTTCAGAACAAAATACATTTTGTTTCCAAAAACAAAATAAAATATACACAAATACAGCAATATACAGCAATACACAAATTACAGGTTCATAAAACAATTTTGTGACAAAAGAGTCCAATGAAATGTTATTTTTTTTAGGTTGGGTTAGGTTAGGTTAGCGTGCATTTCTTAGAAAACACAATTTTATTTTTTTAATATGTTAAAAGGATAAGTATGAGCTTAAGTTCAAGTTTATGGGGTCGTTGTTCTCTGGCCGCCATCTTGGAAAAGGGGTGCAAAACCGTTTTTCCGCTGTATCTGGTAAACTAGCAACCCTATAGAAAATTATATTTTAAATTTATTACCCTGTAGAAAATTATATTTAATAAGAAAAATATTCGCGGTGAGTCTGTGAAGATTGTGAGAGACATGTAGATAATAAGGCAGTGATAACTAGTTTTAGGAAAGGTGTGGAAGAGACTAGTAAAATTCATGTAAAAGTAGGATTTCGTCAGGGCTTAGTGCTTAGTCCATATTTATTTTTATTAGTGTTGGACCAGATATCAGGAAAACTACATGTTAACATTCGCTGATGCTTAATGTATGCTGATGATGTAGTGGCATACTCCTCTCGATCTTGTGTGGCTCTAAAGAGTGCATGGGTATCGAGGTTGGTCTAATCTCTTATGTTTTTAAGCCATGAGTATTTTTTTCTTCCGATGCCCCGTTTTCCTTCTATCTTCCCTTCTATAATAAGCTTTAAGAACTGGTACTTCCAATTTCGAAATATATGACCCAGATAAGCAGTTTTTCTTCTTTTTATTATTGGAAGCAATTCTCGTTCTCTGCCCATTCGATTTAATACTTCGACATTTGTTGTGTGATCTGTCCAGGGAATTTTAAGTAGTCTTCTAAATAACCACATTGGCTTTTATGGTCCACATTTCTACACCATATAACAGTATGGAGTAAATGTAACATTTTACAAAGCGATATCGAAGCGTTAAGTTAAAGCTGCTGTTGCTTAGCAAGGTTCTCATATTAGTAAATGCTGTTCTGGTTTGCTCAATCCTGCTACGTATCTCTATGTCTGGATCTAGATCTTCAGTTATCCAACTACCGAGATATCTGAACTTGGGGACCTTTTGGATGTTCTTATTGTTTACTCTTATATTTAATTGCATATTTCGTGTTCTACTAACTACCATTACCTTCGTCTTGTCTATATTAATATTTAAACCCAGTCCTTCTCCTTCAGTGTTTATTCTATCTATTAGACGTTGTAGAGCTTCTTGGCTATCAGCTATTATGACTGTATCATCAGCATAGCGAAGATTACTGATAGTCTGTCCGTTGATTTGGATTCCATCTTCAGTGTCACTTAAGGCTCTATCGAAAATCGTTTCAAAGTAAAGAATTAAAAGGAGGGGTGACAGAACACAACCCTGTCGTACACCTTTTTCGATTGAGAAATATGTTGTAGATTTCAGTCCTACTCTCACAGATGCCACTTGATTTATACCGGGTGGTGAATCGTCAAACGAGCCATAGGAAACTTAATAGGAAATTTTAAATTGTTGAATTGCTGCTTCCCTAATTATTTTAGATCAAAAGTCATAAAAAAACTATTTGTAGAGGACTAAATTCTAAATTAAAAACAAATGTTAAAACCGTTCTACGAATCAAATGTACTTCAAAATTTTGCAAAAATATAATAGATTTTTCAGACCACCCCTAAAAGTTAAGCCACACGTAATACAAGAATATATTATAACTTGTGTGCTTTATCATATTCATGTCAGATGTTTGACAATTTGAAATGTCAATTTTTTTTATTTTATGATTAAATTATAAACAATGAATTTTACTAAATACTACTACTACTGAACAATATTACTTCGTGAACAATAAATTATATTGTTTACAAATCGATCAATATAATGAAATGTACTCAGTTGACGAAAAATCGCATATATTCTGGCAATAGCGCGAACCTTTTCCTGTCACTACCGGATCTTTATTTAAAGTAAGATATTCTAATACACTAAAATTTAATTCCATATTAAGTTAAGTTATACAACAATTCAATGAATTCCAATATACTGTTACTGTGATCTTTATTCCTAATAATAATATACGATAATTTCTAAACATAAAACTATAACAAATGTTATAATAAAACATGAATAAAACATTTTTATTATTGCTCTTTTCTCCTTAACTGAGTACATTTTTTAATCAACTTAATTTGTCTTTTAAATAATAAATCACAAAATGTTGGCCATTTAGATAATAGATAAATATAATATACTTTATTTAAATATTGTCAAATATTATAAACGTCAATATGACAAAACGCAACACGTAATACACATTCTTTTCACGGCGCGGCGTCTGGCCTGACTTTTAGGGGTGGCCTGAAAAATGTGTTATATTTTAGCAAAATTTTGGAATACGTTTAAGTAGTAGAACAATTTTAACAATTGTTTTCGATACATATTTGAGTCCTCTACATATAGTTTCCCATGACTTTTGGTGTAAAATAATTAGGGAAGTAGGAATTCAACAATTTAGAATTTCTCATTGAGTTTCCTATGGCCCGTTTGACGATTCACCACCCTGTATAAAGGTTTTTTATGATTTTAAGGTCATTCTCATCTATCGAACGTTACTGGAGCAATGCAGTCTTAATAATTCTGAATGATTAACATAATCGAACGCTTTCTGGTAATCTATAAAGCGTAGGAAGGCATCTTTTTGCTGATCCCTGCATTTCTGAAGTAGGATAGTTAAGCTATAAAGTGCTTCTCTTATGCCAAATCCTTGTCTGAAACCGAACTGTGTGAGGCTAATGTCTCTTTCACATCTGTTGTATATTCTTGTGTGAATTATCTTTAAGGAGAGTTTTAGGACCTGGATCAATAAGCTGATTATTCGAAATTGGTTGCAACTATTAGCGTTTGGCTTTTTTGGGATTGATATAAAGGTTGATTGAATCCAATCCTGTGGTATTTGACCAGATCCATAAATGTTATTAAAAAGATCTAGCAAGGCGTCTATATTGTCTTCACTCAACATTGTTAAAACCTCTAATATGTCGTCTGGCCCTGGTGTTTTTCTCCATTTGCTCTGTTTCATTGCCCTTACAACTTCTGACTTCAATACTTTGGGGTAGGGTTCTCTTTTATATCCACTTTCAGAGTTTCTTCTAGTGTTGTCTGAGTATAGTTGCTGTATGTAGTTTCTCCAATGTTAAAGTAGATCCTTGGGATCAGTAATTAATTTATTGTCCTTCACAATACTGTTAAAACTCGGAGATGTATACAGTACAATTAAAGCGAAAGGATAGGAGTGGTGTGTTGTGTGATAGAAAGATCCCAACGAAACTTAATTCTAAAAAACAGCCAAAAAGTCCTTCTAAAAGAGCAGCTGTAATTTACGAAACTAAATTTTGTGCAGTATTTTAGGGGAAGTCTAGAGGTAACACCAGTTGATACCAAAATACGAGAGCATAAGTTAAGATAGTTTAAATATCGAAAAAGTAATAATCCAATAAGAAAAACTGCAAATCAGAAAGCATCATCTGTTCATCTAAAAAGAGCAATATGAAAAACCAAATATCCATAGAAAAGTTATTATAAGTGTGTTACCTCAAAAAGACATGTAGCAGTCAATGATATTAAATATGTATGTTATCGTAAGCTTCTTTACATATTTAATATCATTGACTGCTACATGTCTTTTTGAGGTAACACACTTATAATAACTTTTTTATGGATGTTTGGGTTTTCATATTGATGAGTCTTTTTAGATGAACTGATGATGCTTTCTGATTAGAAAGCGAAACGTCTTCAATAAATAGATGAAGTAGCCACCTTCTTTGTCTTTTTTCTCTCCACCTTTTGACCTAAAAACCCACCACTCTTCGAGTGATCCTTAATTTATATATATATATATATATATATATATATATATATATATATATATATATATATATATATATATATACTGATGTAATCACACTGATGTAATCCACCGAATAAAATCTTTAAAATGGCAGTGGGCGGGACATTTAGCAAGAAGAACTGACAATAGATGGTCCACTAGAATTACTCTGTGGTATCCAAGAGGCGTCAAGAGACCAAGAAGACGTCCAAATTTAAGATGGGACTATGACATAAGGAAACAAGCCGGTACAACATGGCACAGAAAAGCGAATATTAGACAGTCGTGGGCAGACATGAAGAACGACTATGTAAGGGAGGCTGCACCATAATTGGTAGAATACGCTGATAATGATGATGATGATGATGATGATATATATATATATATATATATATATATATATATATATATATATATATATATATATATTTAAAATAACCTCTCGAGCTACATACAGAACTTTTTAGGACTACTAAGTCAATCATCAGTGCAGTTGTGCATTTTTTAATAAAAGTTTTTATGATGTATGTTATACATCATATATATAACGAAGATCTGCGAAGAAGGACGAGTATTACTGATGTTGTGGAACGCATAGCGGAACTAAAATGGAACTGGGCAGGCCATGTAGCGAGAATGCACGATTCACGATGGACGAGCAAAATTACAAATTGGAGGCCAAGAGCAGACAAACGCAGTAAAGGAAGACCACCTACACGTTGGGCCGACGACATCAGGCGTATCACCAAAAATTGGCAACAAAGAGCACAAAATCGTGAGGAATGGAGGAGTTTAAGGGAGGCCTATGTCCAGCAGTGGACGTGATAAATAGAGGCTGGATGATGATGATGATGTTATACAGCCTGTACAGTCTGTAGTTATACTGAAGTAATAATTATAGAAATTTTATTTCCTTGTTGATATTTATATAAGTTTGTTTCCTTTCAATGATTTTTTATGTTGTACATAATCAATGTTTTTAACATGTTACAGAAATCCCACGCCAGAAACCAACGCCTTACTTCCGAATAAATGGGAAAAATATACTTTAGAAAATGAAGAGTACTATATTATCGACAATGATAACTTGGAAACAAGGAAAGGAATTTTAAGAAACAGAGCTTTGTTTTGGAGGGAACTTATTAATGATCCTCTTAAAGAGGGTAAGAGAGAAGAATTGTAGATAAGCTAATATTAATAATTACTGTAAATAAAATTTTCTTTTTATATCTGTTATTTATTTTGTATTAGATTAATCTTATTTTAAAATAGAGAGAGTCCTAAAATACAAATGTTTAAAATGCTTTCGATGCTTAAAAAAGGTATACAAGTTTTACGAACTACTACCTAGACACCTGTATACGTGGAAACCACCTAGAGACAACGGAGAAGATGTTATTATAAGAAACCAAATAGACTATATGCTTGTTAACAAAAGATAACAAAATAGTTTTAACAGTTTTAAAACCTACCTAGGCGCTAATATTCAATCTGACTACAATCCTTTAGAGCGCGTGTATAGAACCAAGTTACGGTTCTATACACGGAACAACGCGGAAAAACTGAAAAAAGCATGACATGAAAAAACTAAAATTTAGTGAAGTAGACGAAATAGTTAGCAAAACAATAAATAGAAAATTCAAAGAAATAGTAAAAAGAAAAGTAAATATTTCGTCTTCAACGTACATAAAAAGGTAAGAGAAAATACAGGCAAACGTAAAAACAGAAGAATAAGTAAACTTGTTAATGACAACGGAGAGGTAATCGTGGACAAAGAGAATATTAATAATACCTGGAAAAATTGCATACGAACTTTATTTTTTGATGAGAGGGAGAACGTCCCCAATACCTATGGAAGCAGCACCACTAGTGGCAGAAATGGGAGCAGCCATAATATCACTAACAGAAGGGAGAGATCCACGACTACACGGAGTACAGTCTAAATTTCTTAAACTTTTTGATGGCGAATTTTTAAGAATACTAAAAAATTTCCCCTCCTCTTCCTTCCAGGAACTTAAAATCAGTACTTCTCTGTATATTTCTCCATAATTTTTTATCTCGAGACTATATAAATATCTCTTACCAGGTCTTCTTTGTTTTCTCCCCTAATCCTTTCAGGAACTTAAAAATCCGTATTTTTGTGTATATGCTTCTTGACATTGTACGTGCTCTAACCATATAAATATTTTTACACTCATCTATCTTAACATTATATTTTTTGGTACACAGCTATACTTATGGCAGTTTTATAGAATGTTCCTTTCAGCTTTATTGGAATCTTCATGTCACACTGTAAGGTATCAAAAACCCTTCACGTTTATTTTCTCTTTATTTTTCTAATTTCAACGTGGGCGTGGGAATCAAATACGTAGATATATGTTTCTGACATATGACAACTACAGTGCGTTAAGTTTTTGATTAGGTATTGCACACTATACGGAGCGCTAAAATCGGCAACGTTGCAAATGTTCGTTCTCCGACCCGAGACTATCTCAGTATCTACACCGACAGAAAATTATTATTTATTTTAGTTTAGTAACTCACAACAACGTTTGGGATGTACTTCACTGTCGTCCGATCTCATGTTTCATTACGTATAGCCGATTTTAATAGTAGGAAATTCGATAAAAATGCACTGACCTAATCGGTGCATTGTTATCGATTTTTATTAATGTGAAAATTTTTTTGTGGTTGAATTAAAAATAAAAGCGTATTTCTTTAAAAAGATAAAATAAAAAATATACTCTTATTGAAAATTAAAATATTATTCCTAATAAAATAAAAAATAATTCTTTAAGACCTACAGAAATGGTTCAAATAGTTGACCTTCTACGGCTGAACAGTACCCCAATCTGTCATAAAAACTTCTGCGACCAGATGAAAGAGTTTCTGCTGTAACAGAATTGGAGACTTCTTTTATTCGATTTTTTAATTCACCCAAATTTTTTGCTCTAGCCTCAGGATGAGCGTAGATAATGCTTTTTAAATGTCCCCAAAATAAGAAGTCCATGAGTGTAAGATCTGGAGATCGCGCAGGCCACTTAATATCGCCTGTTCCACTGATAACTCGATTCGGGAAAGTATTGTTTAAATACTCCTAAATATTTCGAGCGTAGTGAACTGAACAGCCGTCTTGATGAAACCAAACATTCTCAAGATTTACATCAGGAAGATTTAGAATAGCGGGAAGAACATGATTCTGTAACAAATCGAGGTATACTCTACTATTCAAGTTGCCCTCAATAAAAAATGGACCTATTATGTGGTCTCCTAAAATGCCAGTCCAGACGTTAACTTTTTGAGGACGTTGAGTTCGGTAAACAACACTTCTGTGCTGGTTTTCCCGCGCCCAATACCTCATAATGGAAGGATTGTGTCTCCCTACTAACGAAACAGAAGATTCATCAGTAAATAAAATGTTTTTAATAAAATTTGGTTCACTATTAGCCTTCGTTATTATAGTTTCACATTATAGCCAACCATTATAGGTTTACTATTAGCCTTCGTTATTATAGTTTCACAAAACTCCATTCTTCGAAAGTAATCGTCTGGATAAAGCTGCTGCGTTTTGGAATATTTAAAATTCTTGTAACCGTGCTTTTTCCATACTTTCGTTACAGTAACATTGCTAACATCTAACTCTCTAGCAACGCTTCTACTTGAACGTGTTGAATCTACCTCGATTGTTGCACAAATTTGTGTATCCCGGTATTCTCTTTCCTCAACTTTTTCTGGTAACATTTCTTGAGTGTGACATTTTCTGCAATTTTTGAGGCAATAACAACTCTCAAAATTTTTAACAATATTATAAATTGACTGTACACAAGGAATTGGTCTTCCCTCAAAAAACACAGAAAATAAATCTACACACTGTTGCGCAGAATTGCCACTATAAAACCATTTTATTATTTGAGCTTTTTCCGCGGCCATATAAACAGACATGTTTACAAAAATAAATTAAAACTCTACGCTGTTATACCTTTAAACAACTACGGTATAATGACAATATGACAAATTTGCCGACGGGCGACGAGCAACGACGAGTCAACGAATCAGATATGTAGTGCAAGTCGACGACGCGCAGTGTTGCCATTTATAGAGTGTATACCTAATCCAAAACTTAACACACTGTATGGCATACGATAACGGTTCCAAATACTACTAAAAAAATTATAAGTGGCCTTTCACTTTTTAAATAAATGTGCATGAAGACTCAGATACTCACAAAATTGAGGTAGAAACTTGCCATTCGTTGTTTATTTAGTCTTGCAGAGGAAATTCAAGATAGGAAGCCGGAAATAGTAGATATCATTAAACGTGACTTCTATGTGGACGATCTTTTGACTGAAGCTTCTACAGTAGCAGAAGCACGATACATTTGCTTACTTAGTGCATTTGATTTGAAATTTTTATTAAAATCACCTGATAATATTATAGCCTTACCTTCGGAGATTAGCACATCAAGTATTAGATCCAGTTTTGACATAAAAACATCAATAGAGCCACACGCAGGCAGATAAATACACAACACAACACAATTAAAAAGGCAATAGTCTATTTCAACAGCACTCGCTTCAAAATTATATTTCTCAGATTGAGAACATATATTAGGACGTTCCTTCCAAACCACACCCTCTTTCACATGAATTGAAGACCCTCCATGTTCCCCTTGGTCACGGCAGAAAGATGAAGCCAGAAAAAATCCATTTATGTGGTGTAGTTCTAGTTGTTCTTTATATTTCCAGTGCTCAGTTAAACAGACACAATTATGTAGACCTTCGCACTGCAGGAAGAACTCTAGTTTTTCAATACTTGTTGATATGCATTGTATATTTTGATGAAGTAAGCCAAACCTTTTTTTATTGAAAGTTAAAGTATTTTTACCAACTATGTCAAAATTAGGAGAATTGAATACTTCTAACCTATCCAATTTAAAACCAGTTTTCTGGCTAACACTTGGGATAATTAATAATGTAGTATCTGGATCAAAAACTAAACTTCCTCGGTCTGTTTTTCCTTGCGCTAAAAAAAAAGACTTACAACAGCTCCGTGAGGCCAAACTTCGGGATTCATGGCCTCGTTGAAGTTCCCTGAACATATATCTACTTTGAACGATGAGTAAATTGTTAGATGTTTTAATTGAATCATTCCACATGTTGCTTCAGGAAAATTCACTTTAATTAACTCGGTTAGAGAGTCGGTTATAGTTTCTTTATTAATTCTTGTAACATGTAGAGCTAAAATTTTTGGAACAACCTTAACCTCATCGCTATCTCTATTGCTACCTACTATAATTTTTCTTCCTCCGTTAAACTGATGTTGCCTAGGCCTAATAGTTTTCCATTCTTGATCATTTTCCGCCTCATTTACTTAATTAATAAACTGATCCATTTATAATTTGCTTTGTTCAAAAAACAGTCCTTTCGAAACATCTGTTTTTGTTATTGTTTGGGAATTCCCTTGTTTATTTACGTCAGGCTTTTTCTGACCATTTCACTTTTTGCTGCTCTGCCCATAAAGTTTTGTTTGTGTTCTTCTTTCTTTTTTTCGGCAATATTTAAATTGGTCTAAAATGTGTTTTGGAGTTCGTAATAGTACTAGTAGATGGCGTTAGATGGCCTTTGGTAAATCTGAATTCTCTTTTAATTGTTTTAGGAGAAAAATTAGATCTTCTTGTTCTTGGTACCTTTTTCTAGATGATATGTAAGTTTACTTACAGCGTCAAGTTCCTTTTTAATGGTAATGGTCCTGTCTGATAATGTGTCACAATAAAAAGAGGTTATGTTATCTGCCAAATCATAAGATTTATTGTCGCTCCTGCTGTTTATAAATTCACCAATTTTATTTATATAGGCAATCATTTGTGGATTTGCAACATTTACTGATACTTTTAACGTCACAATTATGTCGATTAGTTCATTTTTCTTTAATTTATTTAACTCAGTCGTTAACATGGTTGTATCACACACCGCCATCTTTTCTCTGATCCTGTAAAACATGTGATCTCGAAAAACACTAAGAAAGGGAAATCTTATAACATAATATAGCAGGGTCATAAGAAAGAAGGATACAGATCTCTTATCTGTGTCTTACATCATTTCTAGGAAAGTAATAGAACCACATTAAATGTTTCTTTACTAAAAAACTTACGTCTGGGAGATTCATTGTATTATTTTTGTTGACAGCAATAAATACAAACATGATTAGAAATTAGGA